ATCTTCTATCTTCTATCTTCTATCTTCTATCTTCTATCTTCTATCTTCTATCTTCTATCTTCTATCTTCTATCTTCTATCTTCTATCTTCTATCTTCTGTCTCTTCCTTCATGCTCATTGTGACCATCGTGCCTTTTTCTTGCCTCCCGTTCTGCTCTTGTCATGCTCGACCTGGTTGGTCGGTGTCCACGATGCTTACCTTCATCGTTACCACAGCGCATGGCTCACGGGTAGCAGCAGCAACAGCAGCAGCAAGTTGCCTACCGTCCTGCAAACCCAGCTTCACCCTGTTTGTCAACGGCCTGCGGAAGTTTGCGACAGGCGCATGGTTCATGATTCATGGTTCATGGTCTATACGCGTCGCATGCGTTATTCGCAGTATGTAGCTGATCCGGCCGGCTCTGAAGCGTCGTCTCGCCATCCATGCTGCTTTATCTAAACATGCTTCCGCTCACGCTCCGTCAAGACTCTTTTCCACAATCTGTCTTCCATTACAACCAGTCTGCGCCTTACTGCCTCTCCTCTTGTTTTCCTCCAGGTGCGGCATCACACACACATACACAGCATAGTGCCTCTGCCTGCTTGTGCACTACTGGACCGTCATGTCCCACTCGGTTCATTTCCCTTCCCCTTCCCCTTCAATGACTCCCATATCAAATGCAGGAGGTGGCGATGAGGTGGTAATTGTGGGAGAATTGGAAGGAGCCACTGGACAATCAGTCTTGTCTCCCATTATAAAAGCATTCGACGCCGCCGGTATGCAACCTCAGCTTAGTGCTGTCGTCTCAGAAGCACCAGCTGTCAACACTGTAGACGCCAGTTCCAATACTCAGAGTGACGCACAAACGGCACCAGAGCTCGCATCCAGGCGTATGTCTGCTTCAAGTCCCGTATCTGTGGGCCTTCAATTGCTAATCCCCCATACCATCTCAGCCCTTTCACCAAACCCAATAGTCGCCAAAGCAACCGCTCTCCTCAAAACATATCGCGGCCCAGCCGTGCAACCTCAGACATCGCATCACGGCATCAACCAGTCCTTGCCACAACCTCCCTCTATGAGTAATACAGGTACGTCATCCGCTATGCCCGTCCATTATCTGCCAGCTATCTGATTCTCTTCAAGACGCCTGTCCTACGACCCAGCCGGATGCGAACGAGCTAGAGCGGACGTTACAGAACATGCAGCATTTAGAAGCAGTCATTCAGGAGAAAGAGAAGTTGATTGAATCATTGCAAGCACGGCTCGACGCTAAGTATGCTACCATGTCGCATCCGGATGGCACCTCGCACCAGCCCACGGAGTCCGACGATCCAGTTCTTCTGGACATGTCCACTGTCGGTGATATCGCTCAAATACCATGGATGCCGTCTCATTATAGCAAACCTGAATGCTCTGTGCAAACACTGTATGCTCCAAATTATATTCTCGTCGACGATCTGCAACGGTCTGATGTGAAAGAGTATTTGCGAAGTCATGCCAAGGAAATCCACCCCCCGGAACTAGGGTCAGATGGGCGTCTAAAGCAAAAGGTCGTATGGAAGGCGCTAAGAGAGGACGTCAAAGACATGCAAGAGCATGTCCGTGATAAGATCCTGAGGGAATTGCCTGCCCTATTCACTGCCCGCGACACCTCCGATGGTACCAACATCAGGCTTGGCTGGACCGGTAGTGAGATGCTAGACAAAAACCAGAGGCGCAAGATCGCGGAGGCGCTCAAAGAGCGACTAGGAAAGAAAGTACAACATGCAGCAACGAAAAAGTTGTCGGCGGTCAACTCGAAGATCACAAAGGTAGTCGATTCGAAGATCACAAAGGCAGTGACGAACAAGATGTCGGCAGTTAAGCAGAAGCACAAATCCAGCTACAGCTCGTAGAAAGGGAAAGGTATGTCGCCGACCGATCATCTTGACCGCTGCCGCTGCCGCACTTCATCTCTTACACTCCATACCACTCCCCTACAGTATCTATCCCATAGCGTCCCATATCATAATCTCGGTACTTTGTCCTAGGCAGGAGGCACTCACGCCTAAGTAGCTCATACTTGAACAATACACTCTGCTAACCCATTCCCTCTTCTAACCGCACTCTACTCTACTTCCCATGTACTAGTCTTTCACATCGCCCTCTAGCCTAAGACACTCACGTCAACTACATTAGCCATCTACCCAATTATATGAGCTCTCACCCCGCTACCTGTGTCTGAATTGCCCCAGTCATACTCCGTGTCATTCACATGTTAAAAGTCTCGCCTCTATCCAGAGCGAAGTCTCGGTGCGAGATGGCGCGCACTCGACGAGGCCATCCCGAGAAACAATTATCTAACAATCAACTCAGATCCTATATGTACCTTCGCTCCTCTCCAATCACCCAACCAGTTATCTCTCTACCACCAAAACCCTCAAGATGGAACCTGCTTTGGCTAATATCATCCCGCTTCCGCCTCTGCCTAAAGTCGTACAATGGTTGCAGTCCACGGTGGCTCTCACCTACTTGGCTTCCGCCTATCCAAAACCAGGTCTTCTAAACTTTCTTGCTATCGGCATTTGGTTCTTAACCTCTATGATAACCTCGTGAGTCGGCGTGCTTCAAGTCGCGTACTATATTAGGTAACAGCTGCTCTAGGAAAGTCTATAAGATCCTACGACTTGCGGGCGTCATCAACTTCTTGGCTTCGTAGTAGCCCTCTCGCCTCCGAAGTAAAGCCTACAAGGGGCTTCGTATCGGCCTTAACAGTCTCCACTTAATACTTGTTTTGCTATTCTTCATCCTGCGGTTGGTCCTAGAACAAACGCGACATGAAACGCAATCATTCTGCAGCCTTGCTTCTGTCATACGTCAGAACGACATGTGGTACAACAGAAGAATACGGACAAACATGGAGTTATGTTCATCCTTCAACTTCGCTTTCACATCATTCAATACCAGCATCATCTCATAGCCTGAGTTACCATCCAACGCTCCAGCTGTACCATCGCATTTCCAATGTTATTATGACCTTCTAGCTCTCATACCCTGATTTCATATCCCTTTGACCCTCGTCAGGAGTCTTGAGCTCTCAGACTTTACATTTGCATTGAAATCAACCTATCCGCATTCACAAACACCATTAACCATGCCAAAAGGTTCTCCTACTCATCTTCCTTACATCCATAATGGGTATCACTCTACCAATCCCGATCAAGGCTCTACGGACGATTTCTTCGATGACCACTTACCTCCACCTCCCATTGTCAAACGTCGACGTACAATACGCAGGCCCGACTCATGGGAGAAAAAGTGCGCGTACAAGACTGGTATGGATGTCGAAGATATGCACAAGAAATCAGGAGCTCCAAGCTCAGCGACACTTGAGCGCGAAGTCATGGCCAATACCGAAGATGATAGGTCCGAAGGCGAGACTTCACAGCAACCCTCATTGACGTTTAAGCGTATGGCGACTCTCTTGTCTTCTCTACGCTTCGTTGCACGCTTGAAACTAGTACAGAACGACCGATGGCCAACTAAGTGGACCATACTTGTGACTCTCGCCCTTTACACCCTCTTACTTTCTGCCGTTTTTGAGACTGCTTTTGCATTACTGCCTCATATGTGCCTTTGGTTGGGACCGGAATGGTCTTGGTGCGCTTGGTACGAGATCTCGGATTTGTCTAGACATTTGCTTCTAATTTTGACTTGGCCAGCATGCTGGGTGACTGGGGGTTACTCATCAGCCGCATATTACATCGGGCACGCAGACCGTGAACCTTGGTATCCTTTCACGCCTCAAGCTCTTTTTCCGGGTCGCGCTCTGTTTGATGCCCAAGCAGCTCTCCATAATGTGTCATGCTATATTCCGTTTGAGTCACGACCAGAGGACCTCGTCCAAGACTGTATCGATAAATATCAAGACTTGTATCGACGTCCAGATCTTGAGCTACAAATTGGACGAATCGACCACGTAATGCGCTTACCAGACTGCCGGAACGGTCATCTCATGATTGTACTCAGCGCCTTAGAGATGCTGGCTCCGCTACGAGACTCATGGAACGAAACAGGGGCATGTGCTCGTGAAGCCAGCCGTCGTATCACCACCTCCCAGCAGGACTTCGGCATATCGAATAATCGAGAAGACCTGGATGTTGAAGTTAAACACTTTCTGTCTCGCCTGCTCCAAAGGCCTTACTCCGTTGCAACTATCATTCAGGAAGTCTGGCGGCTTCAAAATGTCCTGCGTCAGCAACGGCCCTGCTCGGGCGCTAATATAGGACAGCTTGTTCACCTCACAGATCGACTCCTGGTCCAGGAGTCTATCGACTTTGGACGGGCTCACAAAATTATAGATACATACCTCTCTAGTCTGCGAGAGCAGCGCGAAATGCTTTCACAGAATCCTAATGCGTCTGGAGCATGCGATTCTACAATCGTGAACAACCTCATTGCCCATCGAAACCAGTTCTTGCATGACCTAACGTCGCTAGAGCGCATTAATCTGCACATAGGGCTCTATGACACAGATACAGACTCTGCTCGTGCGACTGTGAGCTCTCCGTCGGCCGCCAAACACGAACCTCGAGTAGGTGATCATGCATTGAAGAACGACAGAACGCCGCTTCTACGTACTATCACACCGATGTTAGATCATGGAACCTCTCTAAATCAGAAGCCACACACTTCCACCGTGCCACGCGAGAGGTCGAACGAAGACAAGTTACGAAGCGACATCATACCGCTCTCAAAACAATCAGCATTTCATAGTGATGACTGTAATCAGGTCTACAACCAACTTCAAGATTCAAGCATACTTCGTTCTCAAACGGCTTTATCAGCGAACGACCTACCAGAGTGAGTTCCCAAGACTATCCCTTTGAACTATGATCTGATCAGACCTCCAAGCACTCCCTTTTCGATGGCGAATACAGAACAGCAAGGTCTGAAAGACTTTGGTGCGCCAGCCACTCGATATCCGTCTCAATCCCGAGCTACAAATACGTTGGACGATCTGCTTTGCGTAGATGAGGATGCGCCTGGAATTGAACTAAAGACGGCCGACACAAGTAGAGAGTATACAGGTTAGTTCGCCTTTCGCCTTTCGCCATACAGCCTAGTCACAAGTCATCACTGCATACATCCACGCAGGTACCAGATGCTTAGTTTATGTTTTCCGTGGCCACCCATCATGCATCTCCGTCCTCCATGCTAATACCAGACCCAGCCTCCCCGTATCTAGCCTTGTCTAAACTTTGGCATCATTCGCTCTTCGTCATCATTCTAAGAGTCCTCTTATTAATCACAGTTGACAGCCATTGTTTCATAAAATGGGCCGGGATGAAGCTGGCCATGATAATCTGTATCTTTGGGCTCTGTTTTGTATTATTGCTTCTGAAGCGAAAGCAAGGCGCTGAGCGCGATGGACAAGATGACGGCGATATGAACGAAGAAACATTGCTGGAGCGGAATGAGTCACGACCAGGACAAATGGCGAGAGCAGAGCTAGAAGTACTTCTAGCCCAGTCAAGCAGGATGGCAAGATCATCACTGGAAGTCGTGTCCCCGACTGAGCCACAGGATAAGGAACAGACATCACACGAGAAGAGCGTGAAAAGGCGATTGGGCCATAACACCCAGAAGATCCCAGCCTATAGCGACACCGTTAGAGACGCAGGCCAGGGGAAGGAGAAGAGAACGCATGAGGAGTCCATGGATTCGCCACCATTTCAAAACCACGAGACCCCACCGAGTGGATATCTCGCAAAGGCTCGTGTTTGGTTCTCAAAACGTGCCGCTATGAGGCAAATGAATGCTCATCTTTCCGAGAACCAGAGCGCAGCGTCTGTCAGCACCACAACTCCAGACATACCACCAACGTCAACGGAAGCACCTATAGAGACACGAGACCTTGAGCTGATCGAGGATCAGAACGTAGCTACGGACACATCACTGATACAAATGAGTCCAATTACAAAGGATGCCGAAGATCAGTCAAGGATTTCCCAGAACTCAACATCTGTCAGTACCAGGCCTAGTCCCCCAGCGATAGCATCGTCAAAAACATCTACAGATACTCTAAGACCCTGCAAGTCGCCCTCACCAGACTCACTCTCAATAACAGCCGAAGCCAACGGTGCAAAAAACAAGCTTCCAATATCCCTCGCATCCCCTGACATACAACTAGCATTTAACGAACTACAAGAGCCGAACTCACCCCCTCGGCCATGGGCAAGCTCACGATCAAAATACTCTTCACCAGCATTAACACAAACGACTCCAGAGCCTGTATTGCCTAGCAGGTCCTCTCTGCCACACCCACCGTCTACACCAAGCACAAACCCCGACCCCGATGATTGGGACATCGTACCGGAGCACCTCCCATCGCTCTCAGATAGATCTACAGCATCTGGTGCACTGCAGGGGAGAGATATGTATCCTCAATTACGTGTGATTGCCCAGAAAAGCACGCCTAAGGTGGCTGACGCCTCATTATCTACACATGAGACAGTAGAAGGTTTACAGAGTATCTCTATCGTCTTAAAAGAGGGTGAGCAGGACAAGATCATTACGGAAGATTGTCTTGACACTGTCGCTGTGGATGATGATGTGCAAGACCAGATCGGAATATGTAGAGTGGTAAGTGGGACTGCATCAGGGGACAAATTATCCATGGCCACCTCGAATATTGCTCAGAAAGAGCCGAAGTTCGATCCGGTTGGAGAACCATCTACCAAAACTCGTAATAAAATCGTATCACGCAGTTATACTCCAAAACCTTATTCTCCCGCCTCCCAATATTCGTCGAGATTCCTAACAGACGATAAAACGAGCCCAACCATAGACGTTTTTGACGAAGCTATCCGTTCCACGACTCTCGAACCAACAGTAATATCTGACCCAAGTCCTGATTCCCCTGACTGTCGCTTCTCGTCGCCGAAACAACTAGTCCATGAGCATAGTCCGACCGCAAATATTCTTGCCGAGCTCAAATATTCGCTTCCCGAATCAACAGGCATATCTACTACGCCAACGCCTAGATCCACGATCTCCCGGATATCTTCACCAACCCAGCCAGATAACGCGCCCGCTAGTCCGATCGCACTTGTCCTAAATGATGCTGTCCAATCTACTTTCCTCGAACATCATCAGCTCGATGACACATCATCCTCTACTTCATTCACAACACCTTTGAACGAGCCTCAACAGGGTTTGTACAAGCCTAAGCCTGGCTTAGTCGCATCAATGGGTATGTCTACTCCATTGTCTAGTCCCCTACCTGTTGGCTTATATCACTAATTCAAATAGGTAATGCACCCAGTCTGTCTACTTTAAGGCCCAGTCTCCTCCCTACTCCATTCCTACCACCAATCCAAATAGCTAATAGGCCCAACCCAGCCAGAGAAGTCCCTGCTTATGTCCAGCCTCCTGTTCAGGAACTGTCTGAAATCGAAGAGGCCTCGTCTTCTGCTGGGACTGCAACAAGGGAGTCCCAACAGCAAGTTCCGGACACCGCAACGCCAACTACCTCGCACCCTCAGCCCTCCTCACATCCACGAATAGATGACCCGCCTAATCGCGACCCAGACACCCCTGATAGTGTCCTATCTAACGTCGTTGAACATCATCAGCCTGAAAATGCCTCAAATTCCACCAAAGCAGGCTGGAAAAAGTCACACTGCACCCGACACAGCCTTCCACCTATTCATACACCAAACGAGCAAGACAGTCAAGACATACCCTCTCAACACACCCCAACCGCTGCCTCATTCCCTAGGTCTGTCCAAGACCCCACTATCTCGGAACACAAAGGACATAGCTCGGCCGACGTCCCAGCCTGTCCGCAAGTCACATGTAGTTTTGTTCATGACCACGAACAGCATGAAGGGGGCGCTGATTCAATAACAGATAAAAACCCATATGCCAGCATACCTGACGGGAAGCGTCTGTATATGGCCGAGGACGGGTATAGTCAGTGTAGGAGGCGATGTAGAGGTGAGACTGAGGGTTCAGAAAATATGGACTTGGATAATGACCAGAAAGGGGCTAGACAGCTACAGAGTATGCAAGGTCTCGAGATCGACGATGCTAAACAATATGACCACACGGGTCATTCATCTACTGCTGCTGCTGCTGCGGGGCAAGAGCAAGTCCGGCCCAGCAACTCTCCACCGTTCAGTCCTTCAAAAAAACCGCACTGGCGTGGTGACCACCTAGTCGGCTATCAAGGTAACATGGCAGGGAGGCCACGATGGCGGTATCCTGGACCGAGTCCTTGAATCTATTAAGCTATATCTTTAGAGTATTTATAAAGCTATTGTAATATGTTAGAGATCTATATAGTCTATATATATTCTAATTATTAAAATATAGATTAGAGTAGAGTATAAGATAGAATTCATCTTACCTCTTATACTATTGATATTATACTACAAAGATAGCACTTGAAAAGACTTCTTCATACTTTCTAAGAGACTAACTATAAGAATAGAGTAGAAATAGTCCTCTAAGAATCGTTTCTATAATATAAGTTACTCGAAAACAGCCATTTAAGACACGATCTGTCCCTAACGGATGAACGGTTAGGTTAGCTAGATTTCGGACTCAACTCGCAGAGAAATCGACAATCAGTACATTCATACTTCTATTACTACACCTAGATAGAACGGGGCTCTCGCGTAAAGAACGCCGAAAATATGACCAATTCGCAGCCCATGCCCCTTTATTCTAGACGTGTTGAAGATATTAAGAGTAGGAATAGTAAATGCTTCCTGGTCTATCTTTTTGTAACATTTTTTTGTTGCATGTTGTGTTGATTGGATTCCCGATTTGCTTCGGGCGACTTGTGCGAGGTGATATTTCATCTGCTTCCCTGACTAGAATGCTTCCGAAGCAGAATGAAGACAGTAAATACACGAAAGCATACATACTAGAAACCAGGGGTTAGAGGCCCGAATCTACGTGTGTGAAAGCATAACGTGAACGCATAATGTGAACGCATAACTATGAAAGCAGCAAACCAAGAAACCATGACCGTGAAAGCAGCAAAACATGAAAGCATAAAAGTGAACGCTTAAACATGAAAGCATAAACGAGAAACCATGAATGTGAAGTAGAACTATGAAGTAGGGGCTAGCGAGCAGAAGCATATGCTAATACAAGGCATGGTAAGGATTAATGGATGATAGAGGCGTTACATACCAGACCGTAGCCGGAAAATGTTCATCTTTATATGCACTACAAAGCAGACATGTTCTCATCACATCTATGGCCACCTCCAGTATCCAACTAACCCACGAAATTTTGCAGTCCATACCCTTTCTCATGATTGAACCTGTCGAACGGCCGAAACAACATCTCGACCTCAACCTTCTTGCATTGCTTTTCTGGCCCGCTTCTTTGGATTATAGCCCCTAGATCTTCTCGAACCTTCTTCAAGTCCGCCACCCATTGCATATGCGCCGCGCGAACAGTCGTAAGCTTTGTGACTGCAGGCTGAAGGGTACCGTTGAGTGACTTAAGGATAGGGGCAGCATGGCTAGGAGAGCAGGCTGGGAACCCAGTGCGTCGCATGGGCCGGCCCCAACGGGCGAGTCTTTGGCGAAGTAGTGGCCAGATAGTGTATGTGGGCATGAACGGCCAGGAGCTCACAGTGGTAGCCTGCATAGGGTACGGCAGGGTATACAAGTTGGAGGCGCGTGTGATACACGCCTCGGCGCTACGAAGTAAGGCCGTGTATGCATCAACGCTGGGCGATGTTTGCTGTTCGGGGTCGTATCTTAGTAAACCGTGGTTTAGTCTGTAAAGCAGGCTGTGCTGCGGTTCAAGCTTGTCTAGCATATTAAGCGCGTCGTTGAACCTGCCTATAGTGCAAGCTGGGGTGGAAGCGATTTGATTGACAGCGACTCGGAGATCTTCGCGGATGATATGCATTTGGGCCGTATGCACACGTTCGAAAAGTGCTACGCACTCTCTAAGAACGCGGTCCGGCTCGGGGTCAAGATCTATGAAGCATGTTTGATTATGGAGTGCCTTGAGGGATTCTCGGAGCGGGTGTAGAGGGGCCCAAGTCTGGATGAAATGGGTGTTTCGCTCAGCACCAACGCAAGGCGAGGGTGTGTTAATGAGGAAGCTTGCTGGGAGGTTGAGAGTGTCGAGGAGGGAGATGTATGAGGTGCTGCGGATCATGTAGCCACATTTTCTATCCCCAATGCAGTGTGAGTGCCTATCGACCCCGATAAAGGTGCAGAAAGCGCGTAATGTAAGTGAGGCGAAGAGGATATAGGCCGCGAAGCGTATCGTAGTTAGGAAAATCACAGGCGCAGAGTGAAGTGCCGAGACGGTTAGTTGAAGTGTGGCGACAATGGTGTCTGAAATGCCTACAAAGATGCCGGATGGGTGGTCTTCCTGAAGATGGCGATCATGGTCTGCGGGAAGATGGCGATCATGTCCGTCGCTCTGTGTATGGTCGTTGTTACCATCTCTGAATCTTAACCGTGTTTCTTTCGTATGACGTGAACTCTTGAGTGGAGGCGAATGCAATCTGGATGGGCGCGACTTCGCACGAGGTGTCTGTTCGTCAAAGTCGGAGCCACTACGTATATAACCCCGGATTCTCGAAATTCTCTCGGCGTCTAGACCACCCGGGATAACACCTCTTACTTTTGATGATCTCTGGATTATAGGATCCATAGTTGGCGATGGAGGAGAAAGTGGAGGGGTGCGTTCGCCGCTCGAGCTACCGGAGTCATCGCTGAAGGCTCGAGGTACTGATGCTCTTCCGGTGCGTTCTGGTCTTGCTATCTGATCAGACATAACTTAGCATACAGGGGCCAAAGTAAAGGGTTGGACGGGTCTGCACAGCGCGACAACGGTGTCATTTAATGAACCGGCTATTTTGAAGGAATGGTGTGAGATGTAGAGTTAGGAGAATGCTCAGCTGATGTAAATTAGGTGTGAGATGCAGAGTTGGGAATATGCGCGGCTGATATAGATCAAGTGTGAGCGAGCGTTGAGAAGGTAGATCGCGTGAAGGGGTTTTCAGCTTGTCCTTTGTGTGATCTAGAAAGAGGCTGCATGCAGTTTGTGCTGTGCGACGTCACGTCTATGCGGCACAGCACCGACATGGATAGACTCTACGTCCGTTGTAAGGTAGGAGGATACAAAGACGACGACAATGAGGATTACAGGGTAAGATATATGGGATGAAGGAACGCAGTACTTGAAGAATTGAAGACGAGACGCGACGATCTATTGTTAATGTATAGTTACTTTGAAGGTTATTACTGTTATTGCCGAATCCGGATAAACGGTCCTCTGTTATAATACGCCTGAAGTTTGAACGGTTACGACCTACTACAAGATACAAGATACAATACATGTCCCGAACAATCCACTTTACTTTGATGTCTACTCTTCCGCCATCCATTGAGCCGTTGCTACAAATCCGGCAATGAAGGTGTTTGTTCTCACCGACAGATATAATCCATTCTGTCTCGCCACGTATGCCAGTCCAGTGAGTAAGCTTGCCGGCTGCCACGGGGCCCAGATCACTCTGTCATGTTTCTCATCGCCTATAATCGTTGCGAGTATATTCTCCCGGATCTGCACTACCATCAGACAGGTATGCCAGGTGAGTAAGGCGGCTTCATCCAATTCGAGGCAGAAGAGGTTGAGTGCGACGAAGCCAAAAAACTTCCATGGAAGGGCGGTGACAAGGAAGATGAGGGCGCGGATTGGCGGGAGAATGATCGCGAATATGGGCTGGAGTTCGATGGTAATGTACTTAAGTGAGTAATAGATGAGCATGGAGAGGACGGTCATCCAGAGCACGAGTTCGAAGTCTGACATGGTGGACATGTTGAAACGAGAGATTGAAAGCGTATATTGGCTTCTTGTACGCGGCATGTATGAGGGTGATGGTGAGGGAGAGAGGAAAGGTGACGGGCGATGGTTAGAAGAGGAGGTGAGTCAAAGACAAAGAGCCATCATGTCGTACAATATCTCCGTTTGCGGTCGCGGTCACGGCTCCCTCGTTTCCTGTCAATCCGTCCAGCGCTCTGGAATGTGTTTGTTGTACCATGTCTGACCGTAGTAATCGAATACGGATACGCTGGATTGCGTAGCCAATTCACCCTATGCAGTCATGCCGCTTGTTGATCACTGCGAAACAGCGTATTTGAGTATAAATAACCGAGATGAAAATCCCAACTACCAACCCGAAAGTAAACTCCTCTCAGATCGAGCGTCCGCAACGAGGCAACTTCTCATCTACTCCTTGCAAACACGGTTCAGGCTGCGGTACATCCATCTGTCGTCATGGACTCTAATATGGTCTTCGATCCCACGTCGTGGTTCGTCAACGAAGAGCCCACACAGGCGTTTGCATCAACTCTTAGCACAACCACTCCCACTGCGACATTGGTACCGGCAGCTACCCCCTCTGCTTTCCTTGATATCATTGAGCGTACGGCCGTAAGTTATTTTGGTCCCAAATGGGACCTCATGTACGCCAAGATCGACACAGTCATCCTGTTCGGACAGGAGACAGCCCGGGCGCTCGCAGCCGCGAGGGACAATATAAAGGATAGCATTTGTGAGCTTCCCACCACGTGGTTGGACGCGGCAACGTGGAGGGCGTGGGCAATGGTGAGACAATCGGCGGTCAACTTGTCACTTGAGGCGCAGATCTTCTACGGCTCGCTTCTGCTATACTCCTTATATAGACGCAGCCGGAACGTGCAGAACCTGGTTGGGAATCTAGGAGCGGTGACTGGGAACGCAATTAGGTTGGTCGTCTTCGCAAGAGAAGATGTGCAAGTTCCCGTAGTGGAAGATGGTATGTTTACCCTGCCTGGAACAATGACCACTCAAGGATTGCAGACTAACCCTTATATGGCGCCTATGGAAGGAGTAACATCACCAGCAATAACAGCTTCGCCAGTTTCACCAGTGACAGTCGCCGTGAAAACAGAAAGGGATGTTATCGGGCATGAAGAAGTCATGATGTTCAACCGAACTTTCACGGTACAAAAGCTGGTAAATGGACAGGTCCTGATCGGAATACAAATCGAACAAGACGACATCGTGGCGAGTCCATCTCTTCGGTCAGTATCCAAGTCGGTAAGCCCTCAGGGCGGTTCTTTGGAACATCTTTCAGACCATATTTCCAACCATGCCAGTGACCTGCAAGGTTTCAAAGAGTCCCTTGTGGAATGGGATGGACAGTCCAGGCGACGTGCGTCGCGACGTTTAGCAGGCAAGGATCCAGAGGTTGATCCCGCCTTCAGCAACCTCCAACCTCTCGGCTCTCAGCGTAAGCGAAAGAACAGTGAAGTTGATGGCGATGAACAAATAGCCCGTCCTGCAGGCGATGAACAAATAGCTCGTCCTACAGATGGCACACAGTCCAAAAGACCAAAAGGATCAGCCAGTAAGGATTTTGACAGGGCCTCCGGCATCGCTCCGCCAACTCTTCAGCAATACAAGCAATACAAGCAACGCAAGCAGCGCAAGCAACGTCTACGAAGGAAATAGGAGGTGCGACACTATAAAAACAGTGAGCCAGTCTGTTAAGACAAGTTAGTGCATAGTGTTTTCTTGATGGAATAGATCCCATATTGTAGCTTTTACAGTCGTTGGAAACGATTGGAATGGAACGTACGAGGACGGAATACACTTGTGATGTTTCTAGTTTACATTGAGCCCTGGCGCTTCTGTACGTGTAAGCCAATAATAGGTTATAGGTATTTTCGCGGAGCTAGGGCTCTGTCTTACAATGAATGGCGTCTCTTTATCCCCCTCTCGTACATATCTAGGTGAATTCCATCTCGAGACTGGCGTATGACCCCCGCAAACGCAAGTCAAGGATACATTAGACTTATCACATGGTTAGCGATACAACGACTTATTAGAGCAAAAATCCGTGGGCCATCCTGTCTTCATGGGAAAGGGGAGGCGACCCGGCGAAGGCGCAGGCACGCACTGAAGGAATGCCATAACTTTTAGAATCCTCCTATTGCAGCTGAAATCTCTAACCGAAAAGATTGGCCTCCGTCTGAAGTCGTTGTAAGCGTACGTTTCATGTGCGCGCAAGCGTTCAGTCCTTGGCCATTGAAATGAGGACTTATCTCATTGGTGGCTACAACGTGCCGTTGATCACCCACATCTGCGGCCCAGATGGCAAAGCTTTGAAAATTGCTCGTCTGGTAGGCGGAAAAGAAGCTGTGCCTGATGCGAATACACTACGAATATAGGTATGCACATGGATATGGAGGAGCCAGTATTGTGTTGAACCAAGACAACCGACAGACCTGTGTGAATAAGACGGAAAGGGCAAGGCAAATTTATAGTAGCACCGTGTGATGCTTCTTGAGATTGTACTGCGGGTCGAATGCTCTTGATTTATCGGAGAGTGACCGGTTGATCGCCTCTGGCTGTCTACTTATCCAGTTTCTGGATATATGGCAACTGAATGTGGAGGAGGAGGCCGTCAGTGGCTTCTCTTTAACAGCATCCAATTCTGCGAAGCAACTGACGTTCGTTTGTTCGAGGTCTTATGTACTAACGTAGAGAGGACCATACCTATTGGAAGATAATGATGGACTGCCAGGAATTCTCAGCCTGGATGGATCTCAGTAGCCATTCGCACTCCAGTCTGCGGTGTCCAGTCTGAGCTTGCCATCCCTTCCAGGTGTTCGACATGCGTGTTATGCTATTAGCGCTACCTAAAAATGATAACGGATGCCCATCCATATACCCTCCTTCACGACTAGCAACGTCTGCCTCCCACGACATTTAGGATTCCAGGCAGATGACGCGCTGCTGCAAACCGGAGGACGCCGTTAACCTTGCTTGAGACCTCGGCGTTACGAGCATGCAGCGCTGCGGTTCCTTTGTGTAGTAATCTATCGGCCTCTGTGGTGGCGTATAACTGCTAGGCTGGTTATCCTAGTCAAAGATGGGTTGGGTTCCTCTCGCTAGAAACTGTTAAGCTGCGTATGCAATGCGCGGTATACGGATGCGATGTTTTATCGCCGTACATGGCTGCGGCGATGTTGTCGTGACGAGGGAGTGAGTCTACTGGCGGGCACCGCGACTATCCATCCATCCATGGATTCAAATTTGCATCCATCCATCTTCATAGCCACCCCGGAGTTCTTCAAACAGCTTCCCGCACCAGGTAAGATAGCATGCCATTCATCACAATTACTCTCTGTCTCTGAGGCTGAATGTAGGCAAAGGTTGAGCATAATGTATTGTGCGCCCTTATCATTGTCAACGCCAGCGTGTCTCCGCGAAATCTCGAGCCCATGGCGCACCCGAGCAGCACCAGGTGTCCTAGATGCATCTCTACGAACTGCCATGCGATCTATTAGGCCTTCTTCGATCGTATCGTAGATAACGCGAATGACGCTGCGAGCAATATTCGGACAGCTGCGCGTCGATAGCACCGTTTTCACGGCTACTTGAACGAGCCTTGCTGCTTCATCCGCCGGGTACAAGACGATATCCTACATCTTCGAGCACATTCCTATGGTGGGACAATTAGCAGATACTTACACCATGATAGCACGAGACGGTGATGCATGTGACGATGCATGTGGCCTCGTACGGGCAGCATCTTTGCTCTGGTGCTGACTGAGGACTAATTATGATCATCTAGAGGCCCACCATTCACGAAAGACCCATCCTACGTCCTACCATTCGAATCGGTCTCGTAGTAACCGTCCCGTGTCAGCTACATATGAATGATTATAAGAAGAGTCTAGGCTTCATGGATGATTAAGTGAACAAGTGTTCTCGGAAGGGATTGGATTAGCAGAGCTACAAAGGCGCTGGCAGACTACCCTCGTACGTATGCCCGACAAAACTTCTGACGTGCTCATTCGCCATCTTCTATTCTCGCGGCCTCGATAACATGGGCTACGTATATGTGCAACCCTCTCACGCGCCTACGATGTGTAAATAGCATTAGTTGAGGGCAAAAATGCGTGGACCATCAACGAGACCTTGTGGATTTGAGACAATCTCCATGGAACAAGTCAAAGGACAGCGCGTCGTAGTTTTAGCTTAGTCGACTGCTTCCAACTGATGCCACTCGGAATGTGACAAGGCAGGCTACGCAAGGGGAGCCGTGAAGAGACGGAAACAAGACACAAGGAGATCATATTAGCGTACGGCGTGGACTGGACATGGGATTGAACCGAGAGTGAAGAGCTTACGGATATTATTAGTAGAAAGTAGACGTGATTGAGGTCATTGAATGTATTCTGTAATTGTGTGTAGAGAACTAAGTTCTGGGAGACAGAGTCGAAGCTATTTAACCGTTTAGACACTAGTCCCGTTTAGGAAGTAGTATCTCTTACTTAAAGTACCTTCCGATAACACTCCCCCATACTAAGTATATATATATATACTTAGTAATATTAGAATAAAGGAAAGCTTAAAGTAAGTAATAGTAAGAGATAGTACTAAAAGAATAAAGGAAAGAGTAGTACAAGTAAGATAACTCTACTATAAACTAATTATCGTCTTTATTTAATTTAGTAGTAGTAAGGGTAGTTCTTTTATTCCTATATTAGTAATATTATTATAACTTATAATATACTAAATAGATATAACTCTATTAGTAAATAATTCTTAAACCGCGTAATAGTATATCGCGATATATTTAGACCGTACTATGATTTACTAGTTTCGGATAAGGGCTATTATAGCTTAATTATCCGTAAGAAGATAGAGAACTAGAATAATAATAATAATATTAATATTAGTGTTTAACTAGGAAGAACTATATATATAGCCATATATATGCTCCATAGGCTTAGGCCTCCTCTAGTATTGGCTGCTATATATATAAGAAAACCTCCTATGATTAGCTCCCTAACTAGACCCTATTACTAACCTAACCTAGCCTAGTCTAAGTCCTCGAATCCTATTAGGTGATAAACTTACTTCTTATCCTTATATTAGGCTTTTATTACTATATTAGTACCGGCTCTTAATAACGCCCTAACTAACTATAGTAGGTATTACCTTTCTTATGATTAGGTAGGTCGCTAGGCTAGGCCTAGTCTTTTATTCCTATATTACCGTGTTTTTTCCTATCCATGGGAATATAGCTTTACGCCGGGTAGTAGTTATTAATTAAGATGACTAATGCCGGAGGGGGTATATATCTAATAGGTCCATGCCTTAGCACTAACCCTAGCTAGGCCGAATTCGGAAATTATTCTTCGGGGCTATATAATCGTCTATAGATAGGCGGGATACTTAATTAGGTATTACTATCTATTTCGTGGTTACCGAGCCGGAGTAAGCGCGAGCTAAGCCGGATTAGGGTGGACAAGGCCCTAGTATATAGTGAAAATTCTATGATTCGAGCTAAGCTAGTTATGGGTCTAGCTACTCTAGGCGTCGCTCTACCACTTAAGGTGGCTTAGTAGGTGGCTATATTAGGTAATTCTCATTATATAATAACGGTATAGTCATTTTCATATTACCTAATGGTCGCTTAGGACTAAGTAGTTATATAACGGTAACCTTCACGTCACGTGCTCGCTTAGCCCCGTATACTTTTTAATAGAGTGTGCGAAAACTAGTACATAAAAAGGTGGCCGTTATAGGATTCAAACCCACGACGTTGGATAACAAACGCTTCTAGTAACGTAGTACACTACCACTACGCCACCTGGCTAGAACTAGAATATTATAATTTATAAAGATCTCTTTTATATCTAGTAGAGCCTACTATAAGTAACTTATAGCCTTTAAGTAGGCTATATACTCTACTTTATATATCGACTTAGTAATATATAATTACCTCTTACTATTCTAGGCTACTAAGCTTCTATTTAATTAAAGAATATATATAGAGATAGACTTAGCGGTATTAGAATCTAAACCCTAAGAAGTATCTAAGAATATATTAATTTCTATTACGCCTTTAGACTTCTTTAGTATAAGATATTAGTCAATAGTATACTTAATATATTATAATATACTAAAGGCTATTTAAGTATATTACTCTAATAGATTCATATTAAAAGTAGCATATATTCTAACTATAAAGGCAAGATCTAGACGCGTACTAGTAACGAGATAATTAAGTAACCTAATTAGTTATATATATATAAGCTAGCGTTCTTAATTAATAATTTCTTCCGATCTTATTAGAAAGGTATTTATATTAACTAGAGTCTTTCTACTATTATAATCTATTATACTAAACCTTTTTAGAATACGTTAAGAGTAAGCCTTTTAAGAAAGCTTAATTTAGTCTTCTTAAGATTAATTAATCTTAATATCTAATATTAAGCGCGCTTCTCTAAGATCTTTATATTTTATATATTCTATAATCTATTACTTAAAGTATTGAATATAAGGTTTCTCCCCTATAAGTAGTAGGTTATTAATATAGATAGTAATAATAATATATCTAATAAAGATATATAGATTAAACTATAACTATTAGAATTTAAGAGATTAAAGGAGGTTACGTAAGGTATAAAACTATTTCTAACTAGATTATTTTA